GGGTTGGACTAGATGACCCACAGAGGTCCCTTCCAACCCCAAACATTCTGTGATTCTGTGAATCTCCTTAAATGTTACTGAAATAGGAAAAGAGCCTGAAAAGTTGTGACTTCTGGGTGATAGTCCACATGATAAATCTCTCATCATAAAGTTGTTTTAAGATATTTAAATGTTTCTTCTTCTTTAACTTCTTTTCTTTTTTTCTTTTACCTCAACCTCTCACTATCATTTTTTCCTGTCTTATGGTTTGTGTGGACAAGCTCTTGAAAGGTGTCTGTGAAATGTTCTTAGCTGGGGGGATTAAAAACGTCTGTGTTGCGTACATGAGGGAGGGGAGGCTGTTAATGCCAGGCTGGAGTCTGGCTTGTCTGTTAAAAAGGAAAAAAACCCGGTGGGCAGGCGGCCGCTGCTGCCCGCGCACCCCTCTCTGGGACGCGCTCCGGTGCGAGGGCACCGGTCCTGGGGCAAGATCGGGACCTGGGAGCCGCGCCAGGCAGAGCAGGGCGGTGGTTTCACGCACGCTGCTGGTGTTGTCGTGCTTGTCCCTGTGAATGATCGGGTGAGGAAGCGGATCTGGCAGAAACACAGCCCCGGTGTTCCGGGTACATACGTCCCCTGCGCCTGCTTCTATACAGTCACCCTCGGTCAGTCCTGCGCTGCTGCTCGCTGTGCGCTGTGGCGAGTCTTTGCATGGCGTGGGGTAGCCTGGGCATGACGTGGGTCACCAGGGCAGGTGAGGGAGGACGAGTGGAAGAAACCCTTAGGTTAGACCTGCCGCTGACTGAATGAAAACAAAGTTTTTCGTGCCCGGTTCATATTGCTGGCCAGTTATGGCAGAGATGGTCGCTCTTAAGGCAATGGCAGCCTTATAATTAAAAGGATGTGCATCTGATTCCCTTTCTGCTCTGTTCTTAAATTTCATTTTGGAGTGGACAGAAATAGCAGAAATGCTGATGAGAGTTGCAGTGGAAATAGCCTGTTGTGCTTTTTGGGTAGTGTGTGAGGGGAATGTTAAACAAGTGAGCCCTCAGGTGCCCGTCAGTCAAATGGAGAAAAGCCTGTGCTTCAGTTTGCGAGCACACTCTGATGTTAATAAATCACTCTCTGCCAACGAGGGCTGAGTATATCCTGCACAAAATAAATTAAATGCCTTAAGAATTATCAGTGCATTGTCAAAGGGGGTGTGTAAAGTTGAAAGATTGTGGTTTCCACTAAAAAGAAAGGTGGCATCTGGGCATGGGGAGACAGGACCAGTGTGGGCAGACGGCGTGCCGAGTGTTGCCGCTCCTGCTCGGGAGCGTGCGGACACATTCACCGAACGGCGAGAGCGTTCCCTCCTGTGCAGCTTGTAATGGCCGTGCGCACTGAAGTGTGTTGCTGTTCCCATTGCTTAGGTATTTCTCAGCATGGTCAAGAGGTGAGCCCCTTCCTGTGAAGGAGAGGATTGAAATGCCTTTGGCAACAGAGAAAACGGATGCTGGTTTGACCCCAGGACTCCTTAAAATCTTGCACAAACAGGTACAAACCGGCCTTTGTCAAATGCACGATGCTACGGAGGTGTGCTGACGTGTTGGAGATGGCTGGGGAGACAGTCAAGTGCTTGATGCACTTTGGGGAGGGACTGTGTTCTTAGTTTCGGTTTGGTTTTTGGAGTTCTTATTGTAGTACCATGATTTCGTTTAAAGCTTTCTCCCAAAGGCATGGTGAATGTTGCAGAACTGAAGGAAAAATGGAAGCACTTGGGCTTGCCTGAGGAGCAGCTGAAAGCTATCCTGCAGCTGGATGACTTCGACGAGGAGGCAGAGTGGATGAAGGTTCTGGCCCTCGGGTGCAGCGTGCTCGGCGGGGTACGTTCACAGCAGGAGCCCTCATGTCCAAACGCAGACAGTCATATATGGTCATGTGTGAGGTAGACCACAGAACAAGGAATGCAAATGGACTTTGGGAAATGGTGATTGCTTTTGCAGCAGCTGGCAAAGCAGCTTGCGTGTTTACTCCTGTTCCCCATCAGCTTTTGGTCAGAGGAGCTTAACCAGAAAGAAGGCTGTGTCCCCAGTTTACTGAGATGGCAGGAGAAGGGCAAGCGTGTCCACAGGGAGCTTGGACCGTGAGAGAAAAGGAACGATGCTTACAGCATCAGTGTGAACATCCGTGGGGGAGAACGGGAGGGAGAAATTAGAACTTCAATTTTTAATTGATTGCATAGTCAATTAAATTTTCACAGAAGCAGTTAATGTTACTAAATCTACATTTAATTCTTTTAATATCAGTAATAAAATCTCAGCAGAGCATTTCAACAGAATGAGAGATTATAAAGTGCACTAAGATGATGTGGTTATGTAGTATAATACTTTTAACGATTTCTGCAGTATGGAAGAAGGGGTACTAAAGAGAAAATACATATTAAATAGTATTTTGAGAATGTTGCAATATCTGGTAGCCCTGAATGTTGACCTGGCCTGGCGATGCAATTGTGTGTGTGTGTGTGTATATATTTATTCATTTCAGCTGTGTATTTACTGATTCCCGTCCCCTTCCCAACATGATTTGGTAGTTTGGGCTCTTCATTTAAAGAAAGTAGCAGCAACATTACTTATTTAAAAAAAAGAAATCAAAACAAAAACAGTTGCGGGAACATTGTTCTGATGGAGCTAGACAGACTGAATTTGCCTCCATCTATCCATCCTTTCAGATATTAAGTGAATGATTTGGTTTCAGCTCTATATAATGAAACCTATGCTTCAGTTTCCTAAACCAGAGAGGAAGACGCACACGAGAAATTTACATTCACTTCCTGCAGCTGTAAATTGTGTTCGTGGTTGAATAGGGTCTCACGGGTGAGGTATGAGAGTAGGCAAGTGTGAACTTCTTGAGAACACCAGTCATCTGAAGCATCTTTCTGTAAAGCACTGGGGGGTTTATGCAGCCTTGGAGAAAAGGCCACGCGGGCAGCCTGTTAAGTTGTCTTTCAAAGGTGGTGAAATCGCTGTGAGTAACTTTGCTGCGCCGCGAGAGAGAGACGGTGGCAGGCTGGGGTGGCAGGAGCCGGAACGGCAGCGGAGGAGTAGCGAACTGCGGCGGGTAGAGCCTGCCGTCGGGCAGGCAGGCAGCTCGCCGCGGGGCGGGGCAGGCCCCTGCCTCTCTCTCCCCAGAGAGGCCTCCCAGGGCAGGAACTACGTGAACTAAAACTGGTAAAAGGATTGTAAAATGACACTTCTTTGGCTGGTGTTCTTGAACAGATACGGCATTTATTTTAAATATTGCTGTTCTACTCTTAGGAAGTACTTACTTTTTTACAAAGTCATTGCTTGCTTCTTAATGAAGAGGTAAGGATAAATTTTGAAAAAGTGATAGCAAAAATATTACTACTTGGATTAAAAAAGCCCTGTGTGGGGCTTATTTTGTTTGCTTGCTTTAATGGCATCCAACCAGTCTTTGACTCAGCAAAGCTCCATGCTGAGTTTTTCCACACGTTTTCCTGTGTAGCTCAGCTGGATAGGGCACCAGGTTATAGACAACGTATTGAATAAAGAAGTTTTTAGAGAAAAGTATGTTTGGAATTAATACTTTGAGGCATGTCTGTGCTAAAGGGAATTCGGGTGTTATTTGGCTTTGACTAAACTGAAACATTCTTCAAATGTTTTTGCCTCAGTGCTTTTTTTACTAACTACTAAAATGGATTTTGCATACAAGTAAGGAAAACAGTAAGTATCAGCATTCCTAAAAATTAATATAATATTATGTCATAGTAAAAAATAATCTAAACCGTGTGAATTTTCTGGGTTTTGTAGATATGTCTGTCTTTGCTGCTGAGAATTCATTTAGATCTGTTGAGATAATATATATACACACATACCCGTGCATACATACAGCTAGGTACTGTGACGGCTGAGCTTTGACGGTACCAGAACAGAGCAATTTGGCCACATGGAGGTGGGGCTCAGACTACCCCGTGCAATCTTTAAATATCATGGGATTCTGGTATTTTTTACTGCTCTTTCTACTAGAACTTCATAATTGTTTTCATCCCTGCACCTGCACTGGAGGGTAACTTTGGGGCGGAAAGCTAGGTAAGGATGATAAAGCCTTCCCCTCATTTACACTCACTTTCAGTGGCTTACAGTGGGGATTTTGTCATGGTGTGCGAAGGATGTTCACGGCTCTGATACTGTTCCTTTCATTTCTTGACTGACCCCCCACCCCCTGCAGTCCTTGCTGAGTTCAGTGAAACATGCCTGCGAAATCTTAACGAGCGACCCCGAAGGTGGAGCGGCTCGCGTGCCCTTCGAAACGTTCTCGTTCCTCTACTCCTATTTGGCCCGTATTGATGGAGAGATACCAGAGGAGAAAACTGAAGCATTCCTCCACAGCATTAAAGAACAAGCGTAAGTAAAGATTGGTGCATGGAATTTTAACGTGTGGATCACCCCTGGGTTCTCCATAAACCTTTAATTTCAGCTGAATAATCTGTCCTCACTTTGGGTATAGCCATCATGACAGGGGTGAAGGTTGACTAAGGTTGTATCAAAAGTGTACGTAGTTATTTCTTGTTAGGTGGTCAACACTGAGGTTTGAACTGTTAAACGATAAATTGTTATTTCTCTATCTTTCTTTGAAATATTGAAGTCACTACCTGGTGGTGTAATTTTCCCTGTAGGAAGCAGTTATATACAGGTTTGTATCTGCATATTACTGTAGGAAGCAACTATATACAGGTGTGTATCATCTACATATTACTGGTATTGGAACCAGTGGCATCTTAGGGGCTGCTCTTTTGATTTAACATAGACCGTAAATCAGAGAGAGAAATTGGGAGTTCCCACTTGAAGCCTGAAGTTTCTATCATGTTTCTGCTGAATTACTTCTCCCTAGAAATTTTCTTGAGAAAACATTTAGTATGTACTTGGTCTTAAATGGTTCGGCTCTTCAATTTTTGCAGCATTAGCTATGGTAGATTGTCCTTCTTGGAATGATCTCTGTGTTTGTTGCCTTCAGTGGCTGTAAAGGACAAAGGCAGGACAGTTCCACCTGAGTAGTTCATCTTATTTCGGTATTCGTACCAAGTTGGGGTGCCTGGGTACGCTTCTAGTCTGTTCTCTTTCTGCTTGCGCAGAGGTTGGTTTATAGCTTGGTGTCAGTCTCGTCCGTAAGCCCTGAACTGAGGCAGTTCTTCACAGCGGCAGATGTGCAGGCTGAAGGGGAAACGACTGCCTGGCTATCGACAGCAGCCACGGTCAGGTCTGTCCTGTGCTCCCGTGCCATCTTTGGCTTGCTCCATAATGAAGAGGCAACCCCATTCTCGCCTCTTGACTCCATCAAGTAGTTTGTAAGCAAACGATGAACCTCTGTGAATGACACATCTCTCGTACATCAAGGCAAGGTTAATTATCTGCCGCACCTTATTAGTGTGGTATCGAAGGGCTTACTGCTGCGCAGCGCAGCGCACAGTGCGCTCTGGGGCAGGTGGGATTAGTGGGACTGCGCGCAGTGTACCAGCCGCCTCGGCGTTTGTATATCTCTGTACGTACTATGGAATATGGACTTGGGAATCTCTGTGTTGGGTTTGAGGCCTTGCAGGATCTCAGGCGCTCTGTGTGCTGTTAGTGTCTGATGAGCCTGTATGTCATACGCTCGCCTTTCAGTCAGATAAGACCAAATGGCAGTATGAAGGCTACATGGATTTTGATACCAAAACACTTTAATCACAGATATATGCAAGTTTACAGATTAGATGACTTCCCTTTTCTGCAAGGACTTGAAGGGTGCAGTCCAGGAGAAAAGCCAGGCAGGCCAGCGCAGCAGTACCAGCTGTGCTGTGCAGGTCCTAGTGCAGGATTTTGGGGTCCCCGAGTGCCCTCCAGTGCTCTGGGTGTTGGTGAGATGGTCCCAAACGCTGAGGTAGGGCCAGGAGGTTCCCCCTTGCTTCAACCAGAGTCTTAGTTACCCCCCCAGTGTTACTAGGTGTCCTAAGACTCTGGTATTAGTATTAGGTGTCCTTCTCAGAGGATTGGGTAGAGGACACCCCGTTGACGATCGGTCCTTTCGAAGTGCGCTGCCATTTTGTGATGTGCCGTCACCATCGTTGGTGCTTGCAGCTTGTGTGTTCTGAATACTTCTGGACTCCTGCACCTCGTGATGATCAAGAGGGTATTTGCATAGTGTGGCTACCTTTTTTCTTGAGCACCCCAACACTGCTGTGGTGCTTTAGACAGATGGCTGATCGGATTTTTGTCAGCTTTTACAACAGCAAAAACTTGGAATGCACAGGCTTGTGCTAACAGCTCTGCTGACTAGGCCTAATTCATGCTGCTGACTGCTACAGGTGAAAATCTCATCTCCGATACCGATGAGGTGAAGTCTTGTGCCCACAAAATTCAGTGTCAAAACCTCGTAAATTTTACCAGATGGAGGAAAGGATCCATCAAGATACTGAGTATATTCCTGCTAGAATTAGCATTAGGAATGTACGAAAATGACAGTGTCTTCAACCCAGCTCTCAGTGATAAAACTCCCACTCATTTTTACACCAGGATTTACCATGTCAGTGGTGTTCTAAAACATGTGGTTTATTCCTTTCCAGGGACCAGCAAGCTGGCATGGTGCTGCTCAGAAACTTTCTGACCCAGCCCTCAACACAGCTTTGATCAAGCCTACCCCCTTCAGCACCAGGTGAGAGGGGGAAGAAAGGGAATAAATACATGCAAGAAAATTTGTGTTCAGAGGACTGTTATTTGCACATTGCAATACCAGAAGACCCTCTTCTCTGGCACTTCGCTCTCTTTATCCCACGCTTGAAATCGCCCTTCGGTGGAGGTTAACTGAATGCCCGGTTATGTTGTTCTCCCGCCTCTCAAATACTGATGCTCACACCTAGGGAGCAGTACCTTCACTCATGTGTTTATACTGAGTAAAATGTATTTTCTTATGGATCTTCCTACCAACACTTCATAAGTGATTGTAAGAAAAGAAGTAAAAGACAGAATTAAATTTAGAGAAGACTGGACAGCTCTAATTAATTGGTACATTTCTCATTGCACTTCTGGATAGCACTGACTTTGACTCTTACACAAATACAGCTTGTCTTTGGACTACCTTGTCTGCAGGAACCAGCTCTATTAAACGAATAGTTTTACCAGGCCTTACTCAGGAGAACTCCAGGAGAGCCCTGTGGCTGAGCCGGCAGAAGAAACATCAACTCGAGAAAGGACCGCAGTGGTTCCATATTGTTTTCCTTCTAATTAGGATCCTTTCAGAACTTAAATATCCTTTTCCATTCCTAGATGCACTCATCTAATTAAGTATCTGTTTTAAAATATGTCTTGTTTTCTGACAGGAAAAGCTGCCGCATTTGTCAGGCAGGTGAGGAAAAGTCTGACAGAGTTCAGTTTGGTTTTGAGTTGAACAGTCGTAGTAGGTACAGAAGTCTAAATCAATTGGAACTAGACTAAGTATTTAGTGACAGATGACACTTAATTGCAGAAACGTCTGAGGTAAGAAACAGCATGCTAGTGGCTACAGTAAAGCAGGAGAGATCGCACTGACTGACAAGGCCAAACCCAGGAGTATATCGAGTGCCCTCTCCTGGCAACTCGATGTAACAGAAGAAAGTATTGCAGGAAAGATGGATCTGCAACCTTGTTCTGTATTTTGCTACTTCGTTGGTGTAACAAGCTTGGCTGACAGTGACTGACCTTGCTGTAGTAGATTGTGTAGATTAGTAGATTAACAGGACTAGATATTGATATTAAAAAAAGATCTCACTGAAGTTAAGTGGAATCCTCCTGCACACCCTTGATGTGTACCTGCATGTCTTAAGTCTTACTATTTTATCAACCTCTAACTGTGTTAGTTCACAGGATGGGAACTGCTCCTAGTTATTTTTGGAAGAAAATGGGTATCACGGAATCACAGAATGTTCGGGGTTGGCAGGGCCCTCTGTGGGT